CATATTAGCCCTAGTTATCAACTAATTCCAATATCTGGATCATCTGTAGGTCTGTTTTTCATGTCTTTTTTTTCTCTTAGTTTTTGGCCATGTGGTCCTGTCCTCTGGCATGTCTTGTAATATTCATTTAATTTTTATGCATTATATATAAAAACGTTACAAGTTCCTGGTGGTATCATCCTTCTGCTAGGGCAATAAAAAGTGATTGCCTTAATCCAATCAGGAATCATGATAAATCAAGGCAGAGTTGAAAATCTCTGTATAAGGTTTATTCTATATTTGATTTGGCACTAGCCCTCAGAGTTTTCTAATATTTATCTAGGATATTCTCCAGAGGCCCTTCTTCTGGCAAATCCTATATTTTAAACTTTGCTTTATGAAGCTTTCTGCTTAATTTTGTCTTGTCATAGACAGCTTCACAACTTTGCAAGTTTTCTGAGGGGAAATCACCCATACCTGAGGCTCCTCCATACAGCTACTCTTGGTTTCCGTCCCCTAGAAGCAAGCTTTTAAAAGTACAGAACTAAAATTACCAGCCTCTTGCCTGCAGCCAGAATTAACAAGTGCCCCCAAGCTAAAAGCAGCCAAAGAAGTCAGCTCACTCCTCTAAAATGTCCTCTATTCTTTGGGGTCTTGCCTTGGATCGATTTTTACTGCCTCCAAATAAATGAGTTCTATATTTTATCTAGCTTTTCTGCTGGTGGATTTGACAATTGCTAGGAACTAGGGACAGTTGTGTTGGCCTGTTTTTCCCTTTCTGAATAGAAATTATTGCATACTGAATGTGTAGGGGCAGATACTTTTTTCATTTGTACGTTATCCGATACCAAGGAGCCACGTTAAGACAGAGAGAATGGTACATATCCAGAGTTAAATGCAGTTACTGCACGGAAACTTGAGCCCATGCCCTTGTGGAAGGATATTTTTCATAATGGGAACAAGATGAGGCATGAATACTTGGTAGTCAAAGTGGTGGATTGTGACTGGCAGCTAGTTGTCCACCAAGATGTATTTCTCTTCCTCTAGTTTTTGGCTAAACACACAGCCATACAGAATGAAGACATTTACAGGCTTCTCTGTTAGCTCTGCGTGCTTATGTGATGAACGTCTCACTGATAAGATGTGACATGTGGCAACTTAAAGGGTTCAAACCCTTTACCTTTCTTTTTAGTTCCTTCCTCATGGGTAGAGTGTGTATGTAATGGCTGCGATGAAGCAGCTATTTTAGTTTATGAAGTGACTTTAAGAATAAAAGCTGTAGGGGCTGGCCCGTGGCTCACTCAGGAGAGTGTGGTGCTGATATCACCAAGCCCATTGGTTCGGATCCCATATAGGGATGGACGCTTAGCTCACTGGTTGAGCATGGTGCTGAAAACACCAAGTCAGGGGTTAAGATCCCCTTACCGGTCATCTTAAAAAAAAAAAAAAAGAATAAAAGCTGTACATTTTGAAGCAGGAGGATGGGAATCATGGCCTCTGACCTTATAGCAGCCCTGGACAACATGCCATAATAATTTTGCATGAGAAATAAATTTCTATCTTGTGTCAGCTACCATTATTTTGAGGTTTTGTTACTTACAGCTAAACCCAAGTTAAACTAATTAGGAAAGTTCAAGGCAGTAGTTCTCAAAGTGTACAGGTACGGTCTGCAGACTTCTGATTTTTCTAGGGAGTTTGTGAGGTCAAAAGGTTTTCATAATATATTAAGACATTATTTATCTTTTTCAGTATAGTGACATACTAACCAATGGTGCAAAAGCAATGGTGGGTAAGAGCACCAGCATCTTAGAATGAATCAAGGCATGAGTAGTCATTGTATTCTTCATTGGAAAGCACTTGCAGTTGGGAGGAAAAAAGTTTTACTCAATGTCCTTCATAAGGCAATGAAAAATATTTTAAATCTTGACTCAAGTAAATGTCTTTTTAGTATTCTGTATGAAGAAATGGGAAAAGTGCACTTCTGGGGATACTAAAATATGGTTGTCTTGAGTTAAAGCACTGTGAGGCTGTTTTGAGTTGTGGGATAAACTAGCTATTTAGATGTGTGTATTTGACAGATATTAAGGAAAACTAACAATATTTGCTGCCAATGATAAAATTTAAGCTTTCAAGTGAAAATAAGAATTTTAGAAAACGTGTATCTGCCACCTGAACTTGACAACTTCTCAATATTTCGGAGTTTGGTGGGGTTTTTAAAATAAGATTGCTGGTCATATTAAACTTGATTTTTAAAATTTTATATGGCAAAGTGTACTAACATTTGGAAGATCTGCATAACTCAGTGGGTCAGTAGTTTCCAAATGCCAAATGCATGATGTTACAAAATCATGCATGGCAAAAAGTTTCAAGGTGCAAGGTAGACCAATGAATTCTTATGTAACTCAATGCAAAATTTCATAGATATGGTTTCAGATCCTACACTCCAAATAACCTTTTAGAAACTACCCCTTGTTTAGTTTTGGTACAGGGCCTAAGAATAAATCTACAGACATATAAAAATGCTATTAAAATATTCCTACCTTTTACAACTACATATCTGTGTGAGGCTGAATTTTCTTCATTTACTTCAAAGAAAACAATGTCTCTAACAGGTTGAATACAGAAACAGATGAGAATCCATCTGTCTTCTATTAATCCAGACAAAGAGATATGCAAAAAAAAATAAAACAATGCTACTCTTCTCACTACTTTTTGAAAATTAATTCTCATAAAATATGCACTTATGTTAACATGTAATTGCTTTACTGTTATTTAAAAATAAATTAGTAAATATTTTTATAATTTGTCAGTTTTCATTTCTAAAACAGTAAATATTTATGCAACTCTCATAAACAAAAGCTCTTTGGGGACCTCAATATTTTTTCAGTGTAGAGGGGTACTTGAGGCCAAAAGTTTAGAATCTGTTTAATGCTATTGAAAGAATTTGAGATATAATCGCGAAGCTGTACTCTGGGAAATCATCAGAATAGTAAAAGTACCATTAAATCCAGAGTTGGGTAAATAATGCCATGTTAAGGAAAAAGAGACAGGGGTAGATAGATTCTGAAAATTGTAGACCAGTATACTTGATATTAATCCTCAAGGGGGAAAGTTGGAGCTGATTAAACTGAAAGAAAAGTGGTAACCATGAGCTCCCAACACAAGTTCACTAAGACTAAATCATGTCAAACCAACAGCCATAGGAATACAGCCACCCCTTGATATCCATGGAGATTGGATACCAAAGTCCATGGATGCTCAAATGCCTAATATAAAATGGCATAGTATTTGCATATAACCTATGCACATCCTCCCATATACTTTATTTATTCACTTATTTACTTATTTGTTTTTTGGTGGCTGGCTGGTACAGGGATCCAAACTCTTGACCTTTGTGTTACCAGCAACATGCTCTAACCAACTGAGCTAACCAGCCAGTCCCCAAATACTTTAAATCATCTCTAGATTATTTAAAATACCTAACACAATGTAAATGCTATGTAAATGTTGTTATACTATTTGTTTAGGAAGTAATGACAAGAAAAAAAGTACATGCTCACTAGAAACATAATTTTTTTTTTCAAATATTTTCCATCTATGGTTTAATCTATTAATGCCAAACCCATGGATACAGAGGGTGGACTGTATTTGTTTCCTTGATATTTGGTAGAACAGGAAATGTATATAGATACTGTATTTTCTATTCAGCATTTGATTATCTGTTATAAACAATGGCCTAGAGAACTTCCAGTTGAAGATTAACCAATCTGCCTGAAGCAAAATGTGATAAAGTTGGAATATGACATAGGAAGTGATATAGTTTTTTAGTACTGATACAGAATCAAGCCAGAAGTCAAGAAACTAGAGAGAAAATCAGTGACGTGGGTAGCAATGATCACTCATCAAACAAAATAACTATTGGACATCTACTGCGTGCCAGGCACTGTACAGAGCATTAAGGATAGAGAAGCAAGATAGATGAGATCCCATCCTTTGTGGAGCTGACATTTAAAGCACAGTCAGATCTTTTTCTCCTTATGAAATGTGGACTCTTTACCTGAGCCAATATGTTAGAAAGAACAGTTAAAACTGTTAACAATAAAAGAACAAACTAAATTAATTTAGATCTTGTTCTCCTCCTCCCAAGTAGGGATGGGGAAGAACAGAAAGAATATTTGATTCACATGATCTTAAAGTAATAGTGTGGGACATAAAATGCATTCTAGAAACTATATTTCCATCAGTCTGAGGTTGGGAAAAGAAAAAAAAATAAGGAAGAGAAGAAAGGCACATAAGGGAAAGGGATACATGAAAACCAACATGCATGCTGCAGTTGGCATTCAAGAAGGAAAAACCTTAATTCTAATTAAAGTACCTCACAACTTTCTTTGACTCAACTACCTCTTTTAGATCCCATATATTTCTAGCATCTGCATAAGTTTATAAATGGTAAAGCACTGTACAAGTGTACAGCTTTATCCTACAGTTTTTTTTTTTTCCTTTTTTTGTCTTTTTTCGTGACCGGCAACGGATCGCAACCCTCAGTGTTGTGCCCGCACCTCGCTCAGCCAGTGAGCGGCCAGTCTGTATGTGGGATCCGAACCCTCGGCGAGAGCGCCGCCGCGCTCTCAAGCGGCGCACTGTAGCAGTGCGCCACCGGGCCAGCCCTATCCTACAGTTTTTGATGGTTGTCTCCAACTTCCCCCAAAAGCAGTTTGTGTTTAACTCTTCAATCATCATTCTCACATTTCATTCATTTAACCAAAAAGCTCAACTTGTTATGGGGAAATTATGTATCTCTTAGATGCCTACTCCAGCTTTTTAATCTTCATGCCAATAAAAAAAATTTGCTCAAACTATTTTCTTTCTTTTTTCTAAATTTTTTTCCCCGCAGTTGGCTGGTTATGAGGATCCAAACCCTTGACCTTAGTGTTATAACACCACACTCTAACCTACTGAGCAACTGACCAGCCTTCAAACTTAATTCATAAACTTATTTGGACATATAAATGGCATGCACGTTTGATGTCATAAAATTTTATAGGAAAACCAATACAAAACACCATGTGTTTGATATACTTGTCAGCATAAGATCAATAGACCACAAAAGTCCTGAAATTTCAAAACTAAAATATTACATGTCCTTGCTTTAACTACGACTCCATTTTTAAAAGTTAGAGATGAAAAAACTAATTTAAGTGTTAGTTACAACTCATACACCAATAGCATTTATTGCTTTGGTAAAAACAAGTGATCTGTTAGTACGGTTTCATTATAAGTACACAGCAAACCTTAAATTATCTGCTGATGGATTATCTACAGACTTTGAATTCCAGGGTAACTTCCCCATGCTTCTGGGCCATTTTCTTCTACTGTCAGTAAATATGCAAGGAGTAAGTTTTAATCTTAAGGCTTAATCCAGACAACATTAGTAATACAAAACAAGCAAGAAAACATTTGACAAGGCATTCCAAAGTGAAATACATTCCATATGTCTGAGATTTTCTTAACATCAACTTTCTAAAACCTAGCACAATACCTTCTCTTCACAGATACCTATATTGTTTATGCTCTTGCTTCTTTCAGGTCTCCCTGACCACCCACATTTATGACCACTGGTACTTCTATCCCCCTTATCTTGTTTCATTTGTCTCGATAGAACTTACCAATATCTGACATAAAAAATACTTAAGTGTATATTTGCTTGTGTTCTCTTCCTTTACCGACGCATGGACACCCCCAAACCCCTCAGAATAAGCATCATGAGGGATGGATATTCTGGTTGTTCACTCAGTGCTTTGAACTATTCCTAGCACATAGTATTCAATATAAAATGAAGGATTTGTTAAATGAATGTGGAGATTATAAGTACAATTCCTTTAGGTTATAGACAAGAAAATGACTCCATGAATCTGGAGGTAAAAAGGAAACTAAGCAGAGAACAGACCTCAGAAAGTCCGTGCAAATGATGTCCCTATTGCACAGTAGTTAAGCACACAACAAACCTTAGGCTTTACTCACGGACAAAGCTGGATTTCAGTCCACTTAGCAGTAGTGACATAGGGCAAACTAACTTGTCCATGCCTCAGTTCATCCAGTATAACACAGGGATAAAGATAGCACCAACTAAATGTTGTTACTAAGGTGACTAAACATGATTATGTGTATAAAATACTATAGTATAAACCAAAAAATAAGTATTCAATAAAAAATAGCTAATGTTATCACTACGATTATCATGATCATCTTCATTATCATCTCGCTCAGGCTCCACAGCCTATTTTCTGATGTTTCCCAAACAATTTATGAAAAGACTGGCTGTTTAGTTTCTAAGTCCATACAACTATGAAAGAAGATTAAAGGGTTAAAATTAGTTGCCAGAAGCAAGAGCAGCAAAAACATGGGAGGAAAATAAAAAACTACAAAAATTAGATACCAAAGGTACTGCATTACAGCATAATAATAATGCCCACGAAGATGATGCTTAGCCACTAAGAAAAAGGTTAGATTATATTTAATATACTATTTTAAGATGGCAAGAAAATATAATTCTAAAATTTGTAAGATTCACTTGAAAATGATTTATACAAACTTTTGGTGTAAAATATAAACTTCCATTGCCTCCAAAATTTACCTTCTAGAGAAAAAGAATAAAATAAATGAGGCATTATTACGTAAATGGCTTGGATATCTCTGCTGTAAATACCCATCAGTTTGATTTATGCCAATTTCTCTATCTAAAGCTTTTCTGTGAGATCATACTCATAGAGTCATTTTGTATCTCAAGTGTAGATTTCAGGGAGATGATAAATAGTTACATTTACTTTGTCAGTGGCACTGCTACCACCTTGTAACAAATCTGCATTTATTAATTCTATTTCCTTTAGTGACAGAATAACTAAGGCCCTCTGATATTAGTAAGAAAATCAAATTTCAAAATCAAAACCACATTCCAAAATTCTTAAAAGATTTTTGTTCAATTCCTTTGTAAAAACATTGGTCACCATTTAACATACAGTGGCAACAAAATGTACTCAATTTACATGCATCGACAAGTCAATAAATCATAATACATGGACAATTCGAACAATACTAAAGTAGCTTATGTTGCATTTAACTGTAGTTATTGTGCTAATATGAGAAACAAAGAGTTCCAGTTTCAGTCTGATATAAGGTTCTTTGTAGCAAGTAACATGGAACAATGATCACGTGAAGTCAATATCATTCTTCAGAAATCACTTTGTGCAAAGCACCATACCTAGGATAGAACGAGATCTTGGAAAAAATGTATACCTTCAGTTAAGGACAACAGGGCTCCATTTTTAAAAAAATTAATTACCTGAATGATTCAAGTTTTTATTATGCCCATAAATTAAAATATCTTTCATTGTGAAGGTTACATATTCCATGTTTTGACACCTTGAGTAATTCTGCAGATATTCAATTAAACTGACAGATTCTGTATAACTGAATTATTTTCAAGAGCAAAAAGAGGAAACCAATAATCGAAAGCCCTTTCTAAACTCACAGACAAGATTTCTGGATATGGGATTTAATTAATAAGAAGAAAAGTTAAGCACCACAATAAAAATACTTTTTCTTAGAAAACAGAAAAGACTGCAATCAATGTACAAGTTAGGGACAAAAGCACTTACACATTTACCAAAGGGGGAAAAAAATTTAAACCACTCTAATCCTGAAATAAACTCAATAAGTCTGAAATTTTAAAAAATTCTTTTTGGTGTCTGTGTGTGGTATTTATTATGTGGAAGATACAAACCATAATTATGTTTAAGATCTCAAGTTCAATAATTCTGAATTGACCAAGTGAGAATGCTCATATTATTTATGCATAATAAGAATGTTATGTATTGATTTTTGTATTATATGGTGTATTTTCTTTTTTCTCTCAAAGTCTACAGTTAAAGGATAGCATTAAATCATTCTGAAGTGCATAGGAATTTATGACAAACTGCCTTGTGGAAAAAAAAATAACTTCTCTAAAAATAAGAGCTCAAAGTAGTTATGTGCAAATAAAACTTCAAAATAAGATTGTCATAATTACAGCCATCCTACAAGTTTGTCTTCTTTTGTATCAATTTAGCAACATCAATAATTTCAGTAGCCAAAATAGTACATTCTAATTTCAGTTCCTCTCCTCCATGACGTGTCTAATTACTCTGTTACAAGTAATTATTTTTTAGCATGTGTAACAGAGCACATGCTTAAAAATTTCGAGAGGTCAGAAAATTAAAATTTATGATTCAGACATGATAATACTTAAGTCAGATATACAAGACAAATAAGTAACTTTAATTTAGAACATGCTTGAAACATTATGAAAAAAGAAAAAAAGACTAAAAACGGGAGAAAGGATTTTTCCTCATGTAACTTTTGACTAAACTATATAGCAAAAAAGCAAAATATAAAACATTTAGTTTTCACCCCAAAATAAATTATCAAAAAATAAAATTCACTAAACAAGACAAAACAAAGATTAGGATTATGAGTATGAAATAGACTCATTCCATTCAGATAAGATGATGATACTTTGAGGGAAAATAAATCCTTACAAAACAATATAATTTGTTTCTCATTAACCTTTCAAATATCACTTCTACTTCACCCCTTACACCATAAACCTTCTTGACAGTTCACATCTCTAAAAAAAGAATTTTTAGCCTCTTAATTTCCAAGAGTCAAGTCAAATCCTTTAGTTCACCCTAATTCTGCAATCCCCATTTAAAAGACAGTAAAATAATCATTTTCTTTTCCTCAGAAGTCAGAATCTATGATGCAATTATTCAAAATCGGGAAATTAAAGGTAAAAAAATCAACTAGAGATAAGAACTCTTGTTAGCATATGTGGTTTTATGTACTAGGGAGACCACATAATTGCTCTTCCTGTGAAGACAGTATAGTCAGAAAATTAAAATAATATATACTTAAAATCTGCATCTGCATAGATGTGAGTTAAGAAAATGACTGAAATTATATGATTACAAATGTTTACTGTGAAACAGTACAAAATTGATGTTGCCAAAAAGAGTAAAAAAATCTTTAACTGATATTAAACATCTTAAGTAATTTGGGAAAATCCTCAGATTAAATTGTTACTATCAGGGAACAACATCAACAAAAAATGCTCTCATGCATGTACACATGTTAAGTAACAAATAAGCAAACCCCAAGTCAGTACAGTACATCAATGACTGATACTTAAATAATATTTTGACATATGGAAAGAGAAGGAAAAGAAAAAATGTTGACTGCCATTGATGAAAAAGCATTTCAACAATTTACACAAAATGATACTGAACAGTTTTTTTAAAAAGATGTCCTAAGAACACCAAGCCACAATAAGTTAGTGTTTTCCATAATACATGCTGAATTATTTGATCCCATATCTACACAATGTTACTGTCTTAATTCCTAAATGTTGTGACAGCATATTTAACAAGTGAGGTACATTAGTTTACATCTTTTTATGGTTATTCTAAGAGAATTAATTTTTCTTTTCCAGTTTTTCATCTTCTTCACCTCCTCCAAAGAAAATCAAAGGAAACATTCCTAGAATGCAGCCAATAGTCACCCCAACAGCTTTGCCCTAAGGAAATAAAAGAGAACATTTTTTAAAAAGTTACTATATCCCTAAAAGGTATTCTTGCTTAATATCTATGATAACACACAATTACTATGTACTATAAAATTCAACTGTGTCTGCATTTCTTTTGATCATAGTAACTAGAAATAAGAACATATTAAATATAAAAATAAGCTACAAAAATGTCCTTGAATATATAATATTTAAAGTTCAAAGCAACCAAGAAATTTTTTAAATTGCCATAAAAATAACATCAAAGAAATATTCAAATAGAAAAATACTTTTAAAAAACTGTGCATATATATATATATATATATATTTTTTTTTTTTTTTTCTTTTTCCATGTCCGGCAACGGATCACAACCCTCAGTGTCGCCCCCGTACCGGACCAGGACCGGCA